AGGATGCTCCCCCGCGCAAGTGCTTAAATTTACTCGCCTTTTGTTTTGCATTGTTGGTTTTTCCCTGCGTTTAATTGCTTTAATTTATTTTATGTGTGCTTTGATGCTAAACATTATTTGGTGCTAATGAAAGAATTCCAGTCCACAGTAAAGTAATTGCAGGACGGAGGGAGAATCTAAAGGAAAAAAAAAAGTAAATATATATACATATATACTAAAGCCACGGTTAAATAGATTGGTTTTCTGAAAATTAGTTACAAGAAGAAGAGAATTAAAACAGGGGGCGGAAAGACTGTTTGGGCTGCTTCTAACTTATTTACATTCCTCCTTTATGCTCTTACCTACCTCAGCAATAGCCCCAGAGCAATCACAGAGGGACCAGCCCGCATTTCGAGAGCCCCGCATATCAATTCTATCAGCATATTCGCACAATCTATTGAAAAGGCACTAAAATTTTGAAAGGAGTGAAATTTTTGAAAGAGACAAGTTCAGGACGGTAGGTTGGGGGGTGTATTAATCTAAAAGCATCTTTTAGTGTATTTATTTTACGTGGGAAAAAAAGCAATTCCAAAAGCCCGTGCGTTATTTTTAATAAAAGGGAAAAAAGGAAGGAAGCCAACGCGATGGTAGATTATGGGAGATTTCATTTTTATTTCGAAGAATAATAATCACAGACAATGGGAAAAAAATAAAAGCAACGCGTCGCCATTAAATAATTTGCTACTTTGATATACAACATTTTACGTAGCACAATATTAATTCCTCTTCTTTTTTTTTTTTTTCTTTTGTAGAGACTTGAACAAGGAAGAAATCCAGGTAAAAATATACACAGACCAAAGAGCACAGCAAGGAGAAAAGAACCACAGATCTTACAGGGAGAAGGCGCGATAATCATTCATATTATGTACAGGACTATATACGCTAAGTATAATTTGCATTTAGAAATCAGGTCACATTTTCTAAATTAAAGGTGCTAAACACGACCACGTTACTTCATACCAAAAAGTACACAGCGAAGTACAAACGGAGATTTACAAATTACTTGTACTATAGGAAGACTCACATAGAAAAATGTGTCTATTCTGACTCTAAAGCCACATTTAATAGGTAGATAGTCTATTGTACAAAAAAAAAAAGACTTTAATATAGGTAGTATTTTTTTCAGTGTCAGGAAACACAAGGTATCATTCCTAGGGTTTTTAATTATTTATGCACTTATCATTTATCTATTTTAATATATAGTCTTTTTCTGTGTGTTTTTCCCCCCTTTTCTCCTCGCGTGGGTTCCCCACGTCTGCATCCACCTCTCGCCCCTTTCATTCTTCCTCGTCGTCCTCCGCGTCTGGTTTTTCCTGGCTGTTGGAGCCGGAGCAGGCAGTTTTATTTTCTTTTTTCCATTTCATGCGCCTGTTCTGGAACCAGATTTTGATCTGTCTCTCCGTGAGACACAGGGCGTGGGCGATCTCGATGCGTCTCCTCCTCGTCAGGTAGCGGTTGTAGTGGAACTCCTTCTCCAGCTCCAGGGTCTGGTACCTGGTGTAGGTCTGGCGGCCGCGTTTTCTGTCGGTGCCTGCGAAATAAATGCAGATCCAGATCAGCTGGGGATTTGGAGGAAGTGTTTTAGGGGGGGCTGCCGGTTTGGTTTGCTCTCTTGCTTTTGTCTTCGGGTGCTGCCCAGCAAGCACCCATCCACTGCAGTCTCACGGCGGTTGGAGAGCAAAAAACAACCTGGGACTGCCCTTCTTTTTATTTACAAGATCAACTCCTTCTCGAGGATTTCCCTCCTTGTTTTCAGCCCCTAAACCAGTTTTAATTCCCGTTCACCTAGGTAAAGTGTGTAGTGTTGTTTGGGGTTTTATTCGTGTGTTTCTCCAAGTGAACAACAAACTTCAGAAAGTTTCCTGCCCTCACAGCACTGCCCAGACTCGGAGCTCCTGCTTTAATTTTCATTCAGCCACCAGAAATTTGGAATGGTTGGGGAACAAATACAGAAATGCTGTCGAGCCAGAGTGAGAGAGGCATCTGCTACCTACACAGATCCAACTGTTTGTCCTCTCTTAAAGCTGTCATCAGGGCGCCTGCCTGGAAGGTGTGCGATGTTCCTAATTATTTCAGGGGAAGTTTGGGGCACAGCAGTGACTTCGGGGCTGACAGGGGGGCTGCTTTTTTGGGGATTGTGCAAATGAGAAGCGCCTCAACATATACCCCAGGCTCCCCAGATGCCTGTGAAAGGGGTTTGGAAAGGGCCCAGCTTCTCATTCTCCCCTCCACCCGACATTTCCTGCAGACTGATTAGAAATAATTCTACAATTCGGTGTTTGTGATCCTGACTCTATTTCCTATGTAAATGCCATGTATAGCTATAGTATAACGTATTCTTTCCCAGAGCAGCGGGGATGGTGAACAGCAGCCCTCGGCCTCTCCTCCACACATTCCACTGGACTCTTCTTCTTGCCCCTCTTTTTTTTTTCCCCCACCACCCTTCTTTCTTTTTAAAAGAAGAAAAGGTCCAGTCATTAAAAGGAGAGAGAAAAAAAAAAGGCGCAAAATAGCCAGGCTAGCTGTAAAGTAAAAATGTGCAGGTCGTGGAATGTGGGTTGTAAAATCCGCTGAGGGGAGAGCAATAAACTGCTGTTGAATAGGGATGACAACTCTATCTCTGCTCCCTGATGAAATTCCAAAAGCGCGATCGCACAGTGGGCATGGAGGGGCGGGAGGGAGCGAAAGGGGGGACCCCGCTTTTACGACCGAGGCCGAGGTTCTCTGGTTTTATGCTCAGCAAATCCCCGGACATCCAGGGTTTGTGGGGTTTTTTTCTCTGAGGGCAGGACCCAGCGAGTTTGCTCAGACCCTCTCTAATGTTGATCCTCGCAGCGTCACAGGCTAAAAGGGGGGTGAGTGGAGGGGCTTCTTAAATCTAAAGTCAGAGAAAAGCAGAGATGAAGTGTTTACGACCAGAAATATTTGGTCTTTGATAAATCAACTGTAAATGTGAATGAATTATGAAGCAGGTAATGGAAAGAACCGACCACCAAATAAGTGTGAGGGTAACTCCTGCCTTTATAAGCCATTATACATTGGCTGCTTCGCTGTTTTCTTTTTCCACCGCTTCGCAGGGAGGCTGGCCCGCACTCCGTTCGCCCCTGAGGTTTATTAACAAGACCCTTTTCCGAATATTTGGCCACGGAGGGAGCCTGGCTCGCAGGGATGCTCTCAAGTTGCAATCTGGCACGGCAGAGGAGAAGCCGGGGCGGCTGGAAAATGAGCTCACGGCTTCCCCTCCGCTCCCAGACGGGACAGCAGCGCCTTTCTTCCCCCCACACTTCTCGGGATTACACGAGTGTAAACACCACCACGAGTGCACACGGACACGGGCCGAACCGTTCGGAACGGGGAGGAGCCCGGCCCGGGGCGCTCGGGGGGACGAGGCCCGGGAGGAGCCGGGACGCTCCGGGACCGCTCCGACGCTAGGGAAATGGATGTTTATTAAATGTTAATTGACATTAATACCCTGAAACGGAGGGCCTCGGTGACTACTGAAGGCAATGAGGCTGCCCTGGCGTCGGGTGGCTTTTAGTCTGAGACGTGTGCGGGGGCAGCTTGTCCCTGCGTGGGGGGGGGATCCCCCGCTCCGCTTGTGCGGAGCGCTGCGAGGCCTTCCGCGGAGCTGCGCTGCTCTGCGTCGCATCAGCGTCCCTGGGACTCCTATCAGGGCCGCTCTGAGCACCCCGTGGTCCCCAAAGTGCCTTTTTCAACGTGCGGAGCACACCGCACCCCTCCTTGATGATGTTTTTCGGGAGGTCACACGGATAAACGTCCTCCTCCCTATATCCATCCATCCATCCGTCCATCCATCCGTCCGGATTTTAGCCGGAATGTCACCATTTTCAGAACAGGGCTTTTAATTGCAACGGGAATGATGTGTTGCTGTTTCTGATGGCAACACGCTACGTTTAATTGCAGTGTTTGGGACATTGTGGTGAGGGGCTGGCAAATGAAGGT